ACCTGCTTAAAAAAAAGGAAAGCTAACAGAGTAATCGCTTTTCTTATTCATATTCTTATTGCTTCAGTAGTAAAGTAATATTTTACTGTGTGTGTAATTGAGTTTTCACTCGATCCCCAGGCAAATTCAATTGCGGATTTAACGGATTTATTTTTTATCAAAAGAGCAAAACGCGAAAAGAGGCCTACTGTCGCACAAAGGAGTTTAGTAGGCTGCCACGAGGAGTCTCTTCTTGAAGAGCACGGCTTCGAGAATCATTGCCGCGCAACGTGACCGAGACTGCGAGATAATATGTCGGGACAATAATAGGTGTACAATTATTCCGGCGCACGCTTCGCGATTTAATTGTTCGCGCGCGATCTCTCTACTAGAGAGAAGAAGAGAGGCCTCATCTCTCCTCGACGCTCACCGCCGTCACCCAGAACCGCCACGTTAATGGAAATAGCATGAAATTGTCAAGTCGGGGGCACGAAGTGAAAACGGATCGTATATCGCGGACTGCTCAAGCGGAGGTGCTATTAACGTCGGAGACGATTAAGCATTTGACGCCTATCGCTGTTATAGTTAGCGGCCTGTGCAGAACCGGATCCGCGCGACACAAATGCCGGAGATTGGATTTGCGATAGAGCGTGTAACATCGCCTGAACAAGCATAAATTATCCCGGTGTTCTTCCTCTCGTTCTCGATAGAACGTATTTCACATTTTACATATTTCAGCGAGACGATCGCGAGCTCGTCCGTTTCGTCGCGACGAATACAGATGTCGTTCTCTCGCGAGTCTCATTACAGTTAGAGAAGTATTCAGCTCGTGGGAAGAAACGGTGAAAGTTCTTTTTTCTACGCACGGTACCGTTAGGAGGAAGTTCGCAACAGGCAGGAAGGATGCGGGAAGAGCTGATAATGCGCCCGTCCATACATCGTTTATCCCGCGGAAGTGTCGCCTCTCCATTGTGTCTCGTACCGCGAGAATGCATAACGCCGCCGATTCCCCGGCACGATTTCCTCGCTCGTAAAAACGAAAACAGGTGCCGAGCGCATCTCGGCGAACACTTGTCGCCGCACGAAAACTCGCCGGAAACCTCCGCGCGGGCTTTACGAGCGATCTCGTTGCTCAACTATGCTTGAAACGAGCCGCTCGGAGAAGTAGAACCGCCGCAAAAAGTGGCTCACTTTCGATACCGCAGTCGGCGACTGCTGCTACGGCTTTCGTATTTCGGAAACCGGTGGAGATCGTCGATTTTTCTGGGACTCCCAATTGTCCTTGAGATTCCTCGCGCCGAATCCGCCGCAAAAGTGGGGACAAATAGGAATTTACTGTTCAAAAATCGCTACAGACCATAATTGTATAGCTATCGGGATGAATTTTTTTTTTAATTAAACTTTAATCAATGTAGAAAAAACTGTCGAGCCCGATTTTTTTTTTTTAATTCTTCTAAATGTTGCAATATTAATAAGAATTTGTAAAGAAATATCAAGTTTTGCGAGCCACTTTTCCAGTTGGAAAACTTTCCATCTTTTCGCTACAGTACAGTGTACTAAGGTTTTCAGCATCGCTGATTATGAATCTGATATAAAAATCAGAATTTGTTAACAACTGCCACTCTCCTGTCAATATAAATAAAATCATTATGTTTTAACCCTTTAAAGCGCATAATTTATAGAACATTCTAGTAACTTTTTTAAATGAAATATTGTAAAAAAACACTCTAAATAGCACATTTCAACTGCCCTAAGAGGGATCCTAAGTGGTTCCTATATCAGTGATACTTAAAGAGTTAACATAGTATATGTTGAAACTGATGGGCAGTTGAAACCTTATAAATATACTATTTAGAGTGTTTTTTACAATATTTCATTAAAAAAAAGTTACTAGAATGTTCCATGAATTATGCGCCTTAAAGAGTTAAAACGTAATAATTTTGTTTATGTTGACAAGAGATTAGTAGTTGTCAATTGCCAAATTCTGATTTTTATATCAGATTCGTAATCCGCGATGTTGAAAATCTTAGCACACTGTACTGTGCAGCGAAAAGATGGAAAGTTTTCCAACTGGAAAAGTGGCTCACAAAACTTGATATTTTTTTACAAATTCTTATCAATATTGCAACATTTGGAAAAAAAATTTTTAAAATCGGGCTTGACAGTTTTTTTCTACATTGATTAACATTTAATTAAAAAAAAATTCATCCCGATAGCTATACAATTGTGGTTTGTAGCGATTTTTGAACAATAAATTCCTATTTGTCTCCACTGTGCGTCGTGGTGAGTTCAACGCCGTGCCTCGTGAATGTCGGACGAGTCACCAAAAAGACGCCCTATTCCCAGACACAACACGAAGTCGGTGAAAAATTCCCCGTCCCGGGGAATAATGATGAACAACAAGGATGAATAGGTGGTTTTATTTCGAGAGTATCGGCGTGCAAAGTAACGCGGGCGGTCGCGAACTGGCTGTCGGAATAGTGGTGTGAGTCAGCGAAAAGAAAATTTAGAGAGCTGTTTACCGGCTTTACAAATCATCTGCCACTTTGCAACGAACGAGAGTAGAATGCGACTCGCGTTTCTATCCTGCTGGTCGAATAAATTAGCAATGTATCGAAAAAATAAACGCGAAATGCGCGATAAATCATAATGTGAAAGATGCCGCGGTCGTCCGTTCGTTGCGAGTTTTGAATTTTTTCAAATGAATGAATTGCAAGAATATTAAGTTATGAGATATGTCCTTCGTCAAACGGCAATTTTAATTGATAATTAAGTCTTATGATGATCTCTTAACAGAGAAAATATCATTTATCGCTATAAAAAATAATTACTCAGTTTACTTCCCCTTTTTAAATAATTGTTACTATATTATAATAATAAATAATATATATAAATATATAAATGTTACTATATTGTCTTCAACAAAAAAATCTTTTCTTAATAATAGTCTTAAAATATACTCTCGTCACAAATTTGAGAAAAGTTCATTATCATGTACTGAAAAGAGAAAGAATTTATTCTCTTTACAAGAATATTGTAAAACTTCATCGAAGAAAAGGTCCGACTCTATGTAGTAAGCAAATTTTTGTCTTAACTTAATATTCTTGATTAAAATGCTAAACTTGCTACATGTTTGTATGTTTGTAACTAAATGTCTGTATTATTGTCACTAATGTTTGTATTACACGGCAGTTCGAAGACTTACAGCACTGAATTGACTTATTCATTAAATAGATCTCGAAACTTTAATACAAAGCAGAGATAAAAAATGTTGAGCAATTATCGTTTAAATTCTCAAATAAATTTAACTCAAAATAGCTGACTGGCTTGATGCCTTGAATACTTCAAATATTTGATACCTCAAATACTAGACTACTTAATTATTTCCGGTTCGATTTTTCTTTCTTATGCTTAGTAGAGAGCGACTCTCTGCTTCTGCCTCTTACTTCTGCCCTTTGCGTTATTCCGGTTCTTTAATTTACATGTAATATATATATATATATTTACATGTAATATAGTAACAAGGTGATCTGATATATTTTGACCAGTTTAAGCTAACATTATTTTTTGTTATTTCCACTCGGTGTCTGTATCTTCTTGCGATAATGTTTCTTACAGAATATTCTTACCGTATTAGCTCGATGAATATATTTGGAGTAAGATTAAACGTAAATTATGATCTCTCACACAGAGAGAAAATTATAGTGTTTTTCATATAAATCTTTTTCATTTTTATAATTATTTGCACAAGAAATTTGACTGGAACAAACAAATACTGGTAAAATATAAACGAGCCAAAAATCTAAATTGAAGTTACCAGAATTTTGACGAAACTCCCGATTACTTTAACATCAACCGGAATTTTCTTGTTTGTTCATATTTCACCAGAAATTGGTTAATCCAATTTTACATTTTTTTCATGTGCATTCTTTTTAACTGTACAATATTAGAGTGTTAGTATATAAGATTTATCTTACTAAGGAACATAATAGATTTTACTAAAAACATAGCTAACTTTTTAACAGTTTATTTCAGTTCTTAAAATGTTTATATAAATAGCACATATGAAATGAAAAGATAATAAATTACTGCAGAATATCAATCTATTTCCATGTTACAAAATTTTGCAGTAATTTTTACTATAATATTCTCATAGATGATATCTCATATATATGAGATATCATCTATGTAGAGCATGAGTAATATATGAATATCGTTTAAAGAACGCTTGGCTTGCTAGAAAATTAGTCAAGAAAGGTTTATATTTCTATTTAATATAATTTAATCTTTAAAATCCGACATAAATTAGTATAAACGTTGTTTCTTAAAAAGTTAGAATCTATAGAATTATCTAGTTATGTTTGTATTTCCATAGAATGAAAGATCAATCTTACCAATCTGTCTTATAATGAAAGCAAGATTGCATGAAATTTGTTATCTTTTTTAAACATTAAACTTATTTATTTAGCTAATTAAATAAGAAGAGAAATGTTCCTTTAGTATACAAGATAATAGAAAAACAAAGTACAGGAAAATAAAATACAAAGACAAAGAAAGAAGAAAAAAGAAGTTATAAGATCAAAATACAAAAGGAAAATGAAAAAGCACCGTAATTACAAACATAGTAATTACAAACAAACAATAACATAATCTAATATGATTATAATTAAGGTATTTTACAATAATTTTTAAAGTATTTAAAGATATATATATGTGTACATATATAAATGTAATGTAAAGGTTTAAATTTGCCATAAATGCAATTCTAAAGAACAAGTAGATTCTTCCTAAGAATCTTACTAGGAATGATAAAGATTTTAAAATATCATAGTAGTATGAACAAAACCTCAAGAACTTAAAAAGAAATAAGAGATCATGTAGAATTTTTCTATTCCTTAGGAATAAGAAACTAAAATGTAAGTATAGGCTTATAGTCTTGAGACAGATAATCGGTAAAGGACTTTAGATTTATAATTAATATATAAAATAGATGCGGTAACTACTTCATAATTTAATTGCTCTCTTTTGTATGCATATTTTAATATAATTTACAATATTCCACGTGATCTATACATTATCGAAACAAGAATGCTCATACATCATGCAGACAATATATAACAATCCGTTATATGTAAACAATACGTAAACAATGCGTGAACAATGCGCCTCTAATCATTAAATCTACAGCACGAATCTAATTTAGAGGATATCATTAATCGATCGGATTGTGTCGGCCGGACCGATTAACAACGCGAGGCGTTCTTGCATTCCTGAAGTGAAAATGGAGAAGTCCGGCACGTCACGACCCGAAATCCGACTCCTATCCGACGCTCATCTTTACTACACTTGTCCTTGTTAATTGTCAATTATCCTTTTATTGGCACACGCGTGTATCTTGACGCGCCGCGCGCACTTTCGCCGCTAACGATACGATTAACATAAAATGATAATTCATAATTTATTTCGCATTGACGTTTTTAGCACTGCCATAAATACCGCGCGTCACCCACAAAGTAGTACGAGGTATCGTTAAATAAGTACGGTTAAATGACACATTTCGTACGACGCGCGGCGAACAATCAGTACGGCGAACGATGATTATGCACATGCGAGAGCGCCGTTGCCGCGAAATAATCATCTCACGGCGGGCGTCCCATTTTTAACGGGTGTATTTTTATAATGCTGCGGATTGTGTTCGCTTGCATTTTTTTCCTCTAGTGAAAATGCCAAGGGAAATCGTCATTTATTGCGACTTTCTCATCTACGATTTAATTAGCATGTACCTTCATAACTGGATCTCGTATAGAAATTCCGTTAAATTGCGACTCGCTTAAATTTAACAGAAAAATAAGAGAGCCTAATCTCTGCTTTTACTGCTCCGTTAACTCACGCAAATGCGCAACATAATTTGCGCAACGTTCATGAAATACGAATATTAATCGCTATGAGAGCGCGAGAAAAAGAGAAGAAAAGGAACACAGAAAAAGAGAAAGAAGAAGAGAGAAAGAGAGAGAACGAACGGCAGGCGCACGTTATTATATTTAGCGATCAAATTATCCGTCTTAACTCCGCCGGCACATTGTTAATTAAAAATTGCGGTATACCTTATTGCGGTATGGCCGTTTGTAATTATTGTCAATGGTAGCGTACGGCGCGTGCGATAATTGGTCGGCCGCTATCCGAAAGCCCGCGTGCATCCATAAATTCTCGGCTCGCTACATCGCCATAGAATAAACGCCGACCTACTTATACTCTCTGTGACTACTTTCACTTGCGACGAGGACGAGGTTGGCACGGATGCACGGACGAGACAAATTTCCGAATAACGTACCTGCAGTGCGCGACGTGGCGGATTTCATTCTTAAAATCCAGTTTCACGTTCCCCCAGCGCGATATTTTTTCCTTTCTTCTCTTTTCACGGGAACTTTCGCGGCTCGAGCGCCGCGTTTGTACGGATTAAAACGAGGCGGAGAGACGATTTGGCGCAAATTGCACTATTTTCATTATTGAAATTCGTAGATAAGAAGAAGGAATGTTTAGATTACATATATAATTATTTTTAATTTTTTTTATTATGTATAATTATTATTAAATTACGTAATGCGCATTTTATGCATATAATTAAAGACGTCTCTTTTCCTCTTTCTCTTTGGAGCAAGAGAAGGCAAGAATTCCTCTTTTCTTTATTCTCACCCTTTTCGTTTCTTGAAACGAGACGTCATGATATGCTAGTCGAAACGAAGAAGGTCGCGAGTGATGAGTTGATTCATCCAGGCTTCTTGGACGATCATTAACAAGTGATCGCCGTGCAGTCTTTCTTCCTCACAGCGTCGAACACTTCACGAAGACCATTCCGCGTTGCAACGTCATCCGAGATTCTGCCAACGTAAATGGATTTCATTATATAAGTTTGATGAGCCTAACAATAAGAACTAAATTGAATGTCACGCACGTCTTGATTCCAAAACAACAATAAACCTTACACTGCGCGTGCTAAAATCACACATGGAAAGTATTCAAAAGATACTTTATCGAAAGTATCAGTTTTCTAACTAGAAATGTACCCCACGATCAGATTGATCCCAATTAGTCATCTCGTTACATAAGGTGATGTTATTAGTTTTTGTAACGCAATGTGTCAATTAAGACTTCATTAACAATGAAGATTATTAATAATTAAAACCTTTTCTTTATTACTAAGGCTTGTATTAATCGTTACTTGAACAGTTATCAGGAACTTAGGATAGTCGTTATTAGGTTAGGATAGTCGTTACCAGGAATTTGTCCTAAAATAGTGAGATCTGAAGAGAATTTATAATTAGATCTGAGTTTCTTATTTAATTATATAATGTACATGTAACATTATATATTTTTTTCTATGATCGTGATTTAGCTGAGAAACTCACACCTAACTCTAAATTCAAATCTGAGTATCTCACTTATGTGAGATAAGTTTCAAGTAACGCCTATTGATACAGACCGAAAACCTCCATATTAATAATTATTATTAAAAATTTTTTTCAAATGAGATACTCAGATTTTAATTTAGATTTAGATGAGAATTTGTCAGTTGAACCATAATTACAGATATGAATGTTACATATATAATAATTAAACTGAAAAATGTGGGTCTAACTATAAAAAAAAAATCTGAGCATCTTACATGAGACAAGTTTCAGTGACAACTATTAATACAACTATCAAAAATATTAATATTTGCTTGAGTTTTGAAGAGAGTTTTAAAGTTTAATCGTCACTAATAAAAATGAGTATATTTAGTGATTTGTCGATTCTGATAATTTTCAGCAATAAATATCAAATATTCAATAGTCTATCACTCTTTTATTGATTAGTATGCGATTCATTATTAACTGTAAGAGACCCAAAATGGACAAAATTTTTTCAGTATGTTTTGCGAAACAATAATTTTGATACATCATTAACAATAATTAGGATAACATCATATTGTACAAGCCAGATAACTGATTGAAATCAATCTGATCGGCACTATGGGATACATTCCTAATTAAGTTGATACGAAAGAGCGTTTCTATGAAACAAATTGAGTGAAGGATGAAAAGTGAGGGAATATCTGAAGAAGTGAATTACCTAGTGACTAAATTCCATAAGATATTCTGTAAGATATTAGACTCCGGCTTGCTGCCAGCCGAGATCAATTCACAAATCGATCGATCCTCACAAGCGACCGATTGGTCATCAAGCAGACGAGCTTCATGTTTGTGCTCGACTGGCAGGTCAGCGACCCGCAGTTTCGAAAGGACAATGTTCGGCTGCCTGGTAAAATAGATCCTTGATTGAAAAGTCGCCAAGTGAATGTGTTAAGGGGAATAAATCTCTTAAGAGGATGCTGAAACTGAAAACTTTATCGACAAAATACTGACACTTTTCTACAAAGTTAATGTTGATTAGGTTTTCCACCGAATATAGTAAAACAAAGTAACATTTACATAAGTTCTGTATATAGTACATAAGATACGAAAAGGATAGCGTGATTGTGTAGTAACAATTGTCTCTGCGTTATTGACATTTTTCGAATTCATCATCGAATATCTCTTTAAAGTAGAAATACAGGGAATACTCCTCACATAGGATCCATGCCTGACACGTAACAGAATCCATTATGTTTCGAATTTGTCTTTTATTTATATGTCAAAATCATTTATTTGTGAAAAATGAGAGAATAGAACTTACGCCGTCGTGTTATTGATTCGTATGACGTTGGGTGTCAGCGTTGCCAACAGCAAACCCCACGGCAGGAAAGTGCCGATCAGATGAACAAGTTTTTTCCAAGGCGACACTCTATAAACAAAGCATGTTTATTGAAGAAATAGAAATTGACTACTCCATGAGTAATTAAGCATTCGGTAATATTCATTTCGAAATATCCAGAGTTTCATGTAAAGAATTTGGTTGAATTAACTTGTCAATGAACGAACCAAGCGCGTCTTCCTTGAAAGAAACTGCATTTTTTATTTTCAAACTGAAAAAAAAATCGGGTGAAATAAACCAAATCTGTCAGTTGAGCAAATTTGGTTGCATTAACTGCAATCGAGTCAAATCGAATAAAAATTAAATTTTTCAATAATTTGATGTAGAAATTTTAACACAAAAATTTAATCAAAAATAAAATCTTAATAGAAACTGAAATGTAGTTATATAAACGCTATATATCTTCTTTCAACTAACGAAGAAGATTGATCTAACTGCATAATATATGAGTAATTCTACCTCTAAATGGAAGGTCAAGTAGAGTAAACGATAAATACATTAAACAAATAATTTTAATTAGATTTTAATTAGATAATTTTAATTTTAATTTGCAAGATTTGTTCAACTAGAAGAAATTATTACAACGTGTTCTTCAAGATTGTTATAATGTGCAGAGTTTAGATACACGACTCAGCGATTATCGATAGGTTGTGTTGGTTGTACCTCACTCGCTCTAAATTCTTGTTGCAACAAGATATAAGCGAGCAATGTCCATCACTTGAAGCTTTACATGAAATGTATGTACTATCTAAAACCTGATTAGATAGGTCTGCCTTTTTTGGAGTTTTCTTGGCACTTTAGGTTATCAGTGTGTTTTCTTATTTTTAAGTTGAAATCATTAAATTTTAATTAATAAATTAGATAAACACTCTTTAGATCAGTGATCTATTACGGTATATATCACCTAGAAGAAAAATTTATTGAAATATTACATTGTTCCCTTTGGTAATGTATGTAGCTCATTCAACTTGGAAGGAAAGTTGAGTTAAACTTATTCTACATCGTCACTATATTTGACAACTCATTTAGTTACCGTTACTTTTCGGGATAGTTAAATCAACATCATGATTAATCAGTTTTGCTATATACTTAGCTTGTCTAATACAAATAAGAAAGGCTACAAGATCAAAATTATACTGAAAGAATTAAAGCAATTATAAACAACCTAGAAATAGAGTTCGCTCCAGTCGATTCTAGTTATTTAGACCGATCATTTTTATAGTGTAGAGTTGGATTTTGTGTGTTCATGTAAAAATCAGAAATTCCGTTTCTCACTCTATCAAAATGCGTTTGGTTCGTTCAGTGTCAAATTAATCCAGAATTTTTTGCGTGTAAAAATAGAAATAAAAAATAATTATTTTCTTTTGTTGTTGATAACTTACAAATAAATAAATTATAAAATAGTAAAACATTGTAACTTTGAGTGTAGTAAATATTTTAGATAAAATTTAAATATATCTTTTTGTTGTCATTTAAATTTTCAGTTATATTAAAAATACGTAATTATTTAATTTACGTGGAATTATTTGAATTACGTGGAGTAATTAATATAAAAGAAGCATGTGGAATATGTATTCAGAATGAATTTCTTTGTTAAAAATAGTGTAATGCTATTTACAAGTGAAGTTCTATCACGGTAAATACATTTACCGCATTAGAGACCCACTTTCTCATTTGCGGATAAGCCACTGTCGAATGCTGCGGCACCTCTGCATATTTCACTTCGTGATACTCGCTGCTCGGTTGATAAAACTGGTAAGGGAACTTGCGCTTCCTCGTGTAAGTGGACTCCTCTTGCTGCAGAAGCAACACGCCGTTCTCTGGCTGCTTCATTATCTCATATGTGGTCTCTTGCGACGTCGGCTGATATGTATTCTGATCACCGCTGTTGTAATAAGCAATAACGTACGGCGATTGCGAGGTTTCGAGGTAACTACCAGTCACCAATTGATGATCAGCCATTGTTTTCCCGAGAATTGTCGACGAGTCTTGCTCTTCAGTAGGTTTCTCCACGTTTTGGAAGGTCTGCTCGACAAACATGTGCTTGATGTTGGCATCGTTGAACGACGATCCGGCGTACTCCGTCATGACTTGCTGATCATCTAAGAGATGAACACTCGATGTTTCAACTACATTATTGGATGCACATGCATTATCCCGAGAAATCAACATTTCGAAGTTTTAAAAGCGGAAAACTTTTTTAAAAAGTCAAAATTTCCCTATAATGCTGAGATCCAAGTACTAAGAAAATCTTCTAAAATATAACTATAATAATAATAATAATAAAAAGAACAACAATAATAGTAATAGCAACAACAATAACAGTAATAGCAATAACAAATTTTGTTGAAATTTTAAAAGACTGTCTCGGTATCTAGATTTTGAAATTATGACTTTTCAGGAAAATGCGTTCTACTTTTCAAAGAAATTTGCCCATTTGTACTCTGGACTTTTTGTGGTTAATAATGGGACTCAGCTAAAATGAAAGATTTTATTGTTGAAAGATCAAAATATTCCGTAGACATAATCTTCTAAATCGACGCTATTGAAAAATACAAAACATACAAACACTCTTTGAAACATTGAGAAAATATACTAAATAATATTATAGGGCCAAAGTATTAGAGAATATCTGCAGAAAAAGCAAATAATATTTTCAAACAGCTTAAAAAAAACGTTCTCAATGTGTCTTATATATATGTTTCTTTGTATATTCTCGCATAACTTGAGAACTGTTAGAGATATTCCGTGAATTGAAACTTTTTGTAACATATTCCCTCTCTCTCTCTCTCTCTCTCTCTCTCTCTCTCTCTCTCTCTCTCTCTCTCTCTCTCTCTCTCTCTCTCTCTTTCTCTCTTTGTCTCTGTTTTTCTCTGCATGATTCTCTCTTACATTAATGCAATTACCCGAGTTTGTCCAGATAATCTGGGAATTGTGTGTCGAATTCCATTATTTTCTGGAAAATCCGAAACATATAGAGATATAAGACGAAACTTTTATTTTGAGCCGATTTTTTAACCAACTTCAAGTAGATAAAAAGTATGAAATAAAAAATTTTGAGAAATATATACCACCTTCAAAAAGTTCAAAAACTCTAAAAAATATGAAATAATTTTAAATCAATATTCCTATAAATCTACAATCCTATTCTAATATTTTAACGATATTACAAGTTGAAAAAAGACAAATTAAGTAACTAACCAATAATTATAAGCGAATAAGTAATAAAGAAAGGTAAAAAATGGTATGATTATTAACTCAATTAGGTTTTCACGCCAACTTCTATAATATCGTTAGAATATTAAAATAGGATTGTAGATACGTAAAAATATTGATTCAAAAATTGTCCCATATCTTTTACGGCTTTTGAAATTTGTAAAGGCAGTCTTTTTCAAAGGAGTCTTTTCGTTTCATTAAAATCGTTAGATGAGAAAATTTAACTCCTTAGGCTCGTTTTCAGCAATTAAATCTTAATCTGAATTCAAGTCTTTGTCTGAAGAAAGACATTCAAATTAAGATTTAATTAGCATTGAGACAGAAATGAGTATTAAGTATGATTTACCGATTCCAATGACCTTCTCAGTGACGGACATTAGATTCTCAATAATCTATACTCTTCTGTCAAACATTATGCGGTTCATTTATTAGCTGCAAGGGACCCAAAATGGGCAAGGTTTAATTATAGTAATTCTATTTTATTATTTCAAAATTGCTTTATTATAAAAAATAAAACATTTTAGTCTAAAATGGAAAGGTAATATAATATTAATGATAATATTAATATAATATAATATTAATATAATATAATATTAATGATATAATATTAATGATATATTAATGGTAATATTAATAGTATAATATTAATAGTATAATATTAATATTAATATTATTAATATTATATATATTTATATATTAACTATTATTAATATTATATAAAATTATATAATTATTATTTATTATATTATTATCTGAGCAACATGTATCCCCGCATATTTTTAGGGAATTGTTTTTCACATTGAGTTTACTTGGGTAATACTTAATTTTCAACTAAGTTTTTAATAAAAACTAGAAAAAAGATAATTCTATTACATATAATAAAAAATTAAAATTTTATACTCTTCGGAACAATGTGTGCTCACTTACCATCGTCCTGGAACTTAATTTTGCTCGGTCGCGTCGCCTCGTCCAATATACTGGAGACTTGGTACGCGTCCTGAAGAACATCCTGAAAGTGTTTGCGCCGCGTGTCCAGCTGAACGTTGTTCTCGAACTTCACGTGCTGCACGCTGTTGAAAGGATTCATCCGAATAACAGTAGACGGTTGTTCGATTTCGCCCAAGTGCACGCTCGGCCGGAAGACGCCGGACGCGTTTCGCGCCAAGTCCTTCGCGACGATCGGCGACATCAACTTCTGCTCGCCACTAGTGGCCAACTTCAACAACGGCGTAGTTGTTGTCGCCTCATGCACGGTGTATTGACTTCTCGGGGTGGTCTCGCGCAACGTCTTGTTCGTCACGTCGGACACCTTGATGCCGCACGCGCATGTGACACCGACAATTAAGAGATGCAGCGGGAAGAAACTGCGCTTGAGGAGCTTACGTAATAGCTGCATGTTTCGCGTTCAGTTGAGCGAGCAATCAGTGCGAATCGCGTATCTATGCCTGGCGGCGACGATGGCGACGACGACGACGACGAGCAGCTGCTGAAGACAGCTGTTCCCGTCGTGAGGAATTCGCGACTGAAGCATCTGCCGTAAACGCGCCGCGGCTTGAACTCGCAAAAGACCAGTGACGTGGGCGCTTTTCTAAAAAGCGTGAACAAGGGAGCAATTTTCGTATCTTAATCACCATCCGCACTCCAATTGTTGTTGACGGCGCGGCGTTCCACGTGCCGTTTAGTTCGAGCAGTCTGGCCATTGCGTGCACCACCGCGGAGTAAATGCGCACGGTGCAGTGATGTTAAGATGACCAAGAATAGTTTCACACGAAATCGATTAGCCGCATAGCATCACTCATTAATCGGAAGATAACGAACAACGACAAATCAAGCAATGAATAACGAAGCAAAATCAAGTTCGAATTTTCGGTGGACGAAATAAGACTTCATCGTGATTTGTCCGTCACATCTTGACTCTTCGTCCTACACACAGAAAAATATCATTCTACTGCTGACAAAACGATTACTTAGCTTACTTTCCTTGTCTTAATCCTACAATTTTAAATATGGATAAAGTTTATCCAAATCAACTTTTCAAACATCATCACGCTTAAAATATGAGGTGGATTAACAATACTATACTAGGTCTGAAATTAGTTCAATAATCCCTCTATTGTAATTCAATTGTTTTGTCACTTAACCTCGATAAAGAAGACAGCAAAATTTCATTTGGTTAAATTTTACTCATTTTACTCGTTTTAGGATTTTTCGTTCAAAAATTCACTTTTAATTTTTTATTATATATAATAGAATTATCTTTTCTCTAGTTTTTATTAAAAACTTAGTTGAAAATTAAGTATTACCCAAGTAAACTCAATGTGAAAAAACAATTCCCTAAAAATATGCGGGGACACATGTTGTTCAGATAATAATATAATAAATAATAATTATATAATTTTATATAATATTAATAATAGTTAATATATAAATATATATAATATTAATAATATTAATATTATCATTAATATTTAGTATCTTTCCATTTTGGACTAAAATGTTTTATTTTTTATAATAAAACAATTTTGAAATAATAAAATAGAATTACTATAAATAAATCTATAAAGTTACATTAATTTGACTAGAAATTTATGCCATAGTTTTTATCCATGCTATAGGTTGATTTTAATTAGCTATTTGATTTATATAAAGTAATGTCATCGGCTTCCGATTAACCATATAACGGACAATCTCTAACATCTCTAATGTTTCTCACGTCTATAATGCATTATTAACATTAAAATGCCCAGGAACAACAATCCCTTTTTAAAAATCTGAAAACCATGTCATTTCGTTAATTCTAATATTTTAAATTGCTCTATTCCTCATTACTTGTATCATCAATGACACCTGAACACGTTGAGAACATAATGTGCAAAATATATATTTTTTATACTGTAAACAAATTATATAAACAAATATAATAATTTTTCCAAACTTATAATTTCATATAGTAAGATATATTTCATATATCAAAATTATTACTTACTCTTTACAATTAACATAAAAAGATTGATGCATGGACACCTAATATAAATTTAATCGAAATTAAAAAATTAAAATCTCAAATAATAATTTGTATATTATACTCATATAAAACTGACAATTAAATAAAAATTCAAAATGACTATCTTTTAATATCTAAAGTAAATTATAACAAAATTTATCACAATATTATCGATTTTTTCTATCACTCTTTTAGCGTGTTCTACTTAAAAAATAATTGCAAGTAACGAAATTTTTTTTCTGAACCTTGGAAAAAAAGAATGGCTATGACAAAACAATTCAGCATTTTAGTGTCAATATGATAATTTATGTCATCATATTAGTTGGGCTTATACTTTAAAGTGTAATGGCTTTTGATTCAGTTAATATGTAATTGAGCTTTAAAGAACCAAAGCACAAGTGTTTTAGAGATATAAATAAAAAATAATCAATTTCACTTTTTTTCTTACAATATAGATAAACACTTTTTTATGCATTTTCCATCCAGAATCAATGTCAAATATCAATGTCAAATGTGTTTCACTTTTAAATACGATATATTAATTTGTGATGTTTTCAAATTTTCTTTTCATTAATATTAAGAGATATGAGTAATACATCCTCTTAATACAGGCCTGCTATTCAACGACGATGAAAAATAGAACACGGCGAACTGTTAAATTGCATAAGTGAGACAGGAGACGTTCCTCTCTAGCGCTGCATTCGCGGAATACGACGAGTAATGAGCGGAAGGGGTGAAAAGACTTTCTAAGTCAAGTTTTATCGCCGAGCGGTGAGAGTCTGACCTTGTTTCGCGGCGAGGTCATTTCGATATGTTCTATATGCTCCGCAATGTTGTTTCGGAATTTATAAATTTCACGGCAGAGGAAACATTCTCCATTCTTCTCGCGCCGCGAATTTCATGTTCCTTCGAACGTCCAGCTATCTGACGGTCGATTGGCTTCGCAGAATCGGAATAGAGAGAGAGAGAGAGAAAAAAGCCTTATCAGAGCTGATACGTCCTGACCAAACGTTCCTCTCGGGTGCCTGGTGTTTCCTCGCTATTTCCGCGATTCGCTCGTGCACACGCCAGAGTGTTTTGCGTGTCAACGTTTTATCCGATTGCGATCTCCTCCTCCCGGATACTTTCCTCGAAACTTTCTGCCGGTGCGTGGATCTTCAACATCTAGGCTAGATACCCTTTTCACCCCTTCCACTTCCTTTCATATCGTACTATCTCGCGTACGCGACTCTCCCTCTGGTACGACCGACAATGAAAGTAGACGCTTAGCTCGCTGCACTCGTGGACTATTCTTCCTATTCAGCATCGTTATACTCGTTTTCGCGGTTAACTACGCCTAGCCTGACCCAATTTCGATTTCGAGTAGACCGGCCGGCCGAGCGCCGCAACCGGAATCGGAAGTGAAAAGTCTCCGTCTTTACCCTGCGCGACTTTGTCGTCTTAACGATTATCCACGTTATCGGAGAATCTTTCGACTCGACGATGTCGATGACTTGTTCGCACTTCTTAACGTTTCTATCAACGTGTAAGTCTACGACGACGCACCGATGATAAAGTTCAGAAACTAGAAATAAAAATGTTCGGCACGTGACTCATTATGTGAACGTGTTTGGCAATTTTGTTTGAAGACAGACATCTCCGAAGAGACGTCCCGCATTCGCAATACGCGCCGAGGAAACGGTGGAAATCGGCGCATTTCTGCCGATAGGCGAGAAAAGAAATCGCGTCTGTTTCTGGGTCGGCACCGCGCAAAAAGCCTAGATCGGTGAAAATCTGGCAGAAGAATCGGAAGCTGCTCGTAAAACGGAAACTGTTAAGACGCGTTTCACTCGGCGCTCGTGCGCGCGCGACGACCAAGAATCACCGGCGATCGACGTGAGACGGGGGAGGGAGGGGGCGGCAACAAGACGATAAAAAAAGAAAGAAAAAGAACGACCGGAGGTTTCTGGGCCGCGAAAGCGCAAAAATTGGTAAACGACCGATTCTACGTTTGTTCGCCGATCCCGCGATCACCTACGTCGAAGAAGGCCATATTGACGATTTGCCGAGCATGAAAATCAACGGCGGCCTTCTTCGTCCTTTACGCGCGTCCCATCTACGCGTGTCCTTAATTGTGCGACAATTCAGCCAGAAACTTCATTTCCCGTATGCGCTCGCGTTTAACTCACCAATATACGTAACATAAATATACAGAGTAAGATAAGCAGATAAGCAGATATAAGTGCACATAAAAAAATAATTTTCTGCTGCTAAAAAAGCGATTACTCAGTTTATTTTCCTTCTTTCAAACAGGGTTGAGCAAAAGAATATATATCTTTAATTAAATTAAGTTTAAAGTTAATGACATAAAATAAATTTAGTTAAGTTAAGGTTATATAAACAAAAACTGAATTTAATTTAAAGTTAAGTTAAAATTAAACTTAGTAAAGTTAAAAATTAATTATGCAAAGCCGTATATGTTTTTTGCATAATTAATTTTTTAATCATAAGTCGAATTTATGCGAAATAATGAAAAGGTAGTTTTTTTATAAGAAAATATTGATTGCATGTGTGTGTGTTTCCAGCTCAAGTTTCTATGCAAAAAAGAACACTCGCCTTTAGAAAGATGAAAAATACTTTGTTACCATTATTTTTTATTTTTTTCAATTTTTTATATTGTAAGCAGCCTGCTATGATTTTAATGATGAATGAATTGTCTGCAATGATTTTATTAATAAATTAATTGGAGTTATATAACAAAAGTTAAAATTAATATATTTTAAAATAATTGGTGTAAGTTAAGTTGACTTATTTAAAATTAACTATGTTAAAAATAATTAATTTATTAACTTAACTTTTAACTAATTAACTAGTTATTATTATTATTATAATTAACTAGTTATTAATTATAATTATTATTTAATTTTGTTCTTAATATCTTCAACAAAGGATGGTTTCCTTGATAATAATCTTAAAATATATTCATCATACGGTATGTATCTTTCTGTGTGCAGTAATAAGTTCTATAATTAATTAAAGTTCCGCTTGCGGATTATAATGTATCTATATTCCTTGTATTATCTGCCAAATTAAATTATTACATTACAATTATATGAATTCATGTACTCCACATAAAGATTTATGTAACTTCAAATTTAAATATAAGTTTTACATAATTCTTTTTTCTTTTAACCTTTATCTAATTGTTACAATAATCTTCAAGTAACGCCTCCACGATAAGAATAGTTTAACAAATAAATTTATAAATTAAGTTTTTGTTTCGTTTTTAGAGCCATTTGCGTGTGCACAAGCGAAAAGATCCTGTTAATATTTTATTTTATCGTACAAATTTTGAAACTAATATATTTCTATACCAGGGCCCATAATTTTGTAATTATTAACCTTATAAATGTTATAAACACGTTATTATTAACGTTATAAACATAAATAGTATTGTTGAGTTCAAAATTCGCATATACACTTTGTTATAATTATTTATTTCATTTAATAATTTCATATAATAATTCCATATAATAATTATTTATTATACTAGTATAAATAATAGTAAAATAATTATAAATAATAATAAAATAATTAGTAATAATTACAAGTAATAAATAGTAATAATTGATTAATTATAAATAATGATATAAAGTAAAAGTAAAGTAAATTATTTATTACTTATAATAATTATTAATAGTAATTAGTAATTTACTAATAGTAATTATTATTTATTAATATATTTTTATTACTGTATAATAATTATTTTATATAATTTTTCTAACTGGAAGTCTTAAATCTAGTTATTGTGTTTTCATTTACTTTAAATGTCTTTATCTAAGAGTTTCTCTCTATTAGTTTTCCAGAGTTCCGTTGCTCTTTGTCGTGCGTTATAAATTTGTGTACTCTAATAAACATATATTGTAACACTATTTTCCTTGTATGATTTCATATATGCCTGGGATTTGCGTTTTAGAAATGGTTTGTCCAGGCACATTGAATAAATAAAACTTTAATAATAATAAATATTGTTATATAATTGGTCACTACACGACGACTAAAATAAAAAAGTTATCTTATGAAAAAGAAGGACCAAGTCATTTACACGTTTTCCTAAACTCGATTTCTCTCTCTCCCCCCTCTCGCTCTCTACTTCTTCCTCTCTCTCTCTTTTTCTCTCTTTTCCGCAACCGAAACATCTCTAAGGCCGCGCCAAGCCCAGAAAAGAGAGAGCATTGCTCGTCGTCGTGCTCGTCGTCTCGCGGCTCAGTTCCGCCGCGTTTTAAACGGTGAAAGTAGCATTTTGACAAAAGGTAAAATCCGCACAAACGACACTGTCACCCGTAGGAAGTGCGCGAGCGTGCCGCGTGGCGAGGACGCGCGACAGAAGAAGCGACGTCGTCTTGTCGTCACCCGGGCTGATTGTCACGAGCGTGCACTCAGCAATTAGCGCGTGACGAGCGGTCTGGGTCTGTTTCTCATTCCTCGTTGTTGCGCAGTCCTCGGGACGGCAGCGTAGATTCGACTCGATCAATCGAGAATGGACGACAACGTGACTACAATTAACGACGACAAGAAGGATGAAGATGAGGATAAGAATAAGGAAGAAGAAGAAGAGGAGGAGAAGAACGCGATCAATCGGCGATCAAATTCGCGCCACCACGACTTTCTCGGTCAAGCTCTGCCGTTTCTGTGCCTTTTCTAATCTTCGATAGCGATTGCCTCGTCAGCTGTAGAAACAATCCTGGCGGCAGCAATTAAATCGCCGTGAGATCGAGAGAAGAGACCGTTGAAAACGGTGGTATCGTTAACTCTTTCGCGCGGGCAATTAGACGGACCCATTAGACGGGAGTCTCGAATTACCGGCTGGATTTTTGCTGGTTGTAAGTGTGCCTGATTAGAGGTGCTGATAAGTGAGAAAGCGCATTGTAAACAACTCGTCGAGATGATTGTTTTAACGCGCTGATTGAAGGTTCATTAATAATCCCGACCCAATATCGATTATTCCGATAAGAGAATATGTGCGCGAAAATTTCATTCGGTCGGCGAAAAATTGTTAACGTCATTTTGAATTCGGTTCTCACATTATTCACAATCCCAATACCGTCTTCGGAACTCAACGGAAATTCTCTTCGACTTTGTGAAATTAGAAAGATACTTATTCCTTTGTCCCTCTCTCTCATGCTTTATTTTGGAAAGTCATCGTTTCCTCAACTATGCGTCAAGTTATTTAAAATTTGTTGTAATTTTAAAATTTAGTAGTTTTTCGTTACGTGAAAAACTACTTTTTTCCAGCGAGAAATACGCGACTTCCACTTTGCACCAACGTCATTTTGTTAATTTTCAGTTTTTTATAAAATCCCCAAGACATATACTCTCGAAACATATGTATTATATGAGATACGTGGAAAGTTTGAAGTCAATTGGTGCAATAGTCCTCGAGAAATTTTGTACGTCTTCTTTGAAGACATGATTTCGAGAAAAACGCATTTCAGGAAATTTTAGGAAGGCAAAATAAATTAAGAATTTATTAAAAATTGCACTATATATTAATTGAAATATTATCTAACTTCTCGTACAATTGGACAAAGATTGGCTGTTCGAAAATTGAAATATTTGAAACTAAAGTTGAAATTTTTTATACGTGCTTCTTGGAATTAGGTATACTAATTTAATTTCTACTTTAAATCTCTATCTATCTATCTATCTATCTATCTATCTCTATCTCTATCTCCATCTCTCTCTAAAATTAAAATTTTAATGAGAAACTACTACGCCGTGTATGTGAGAAAAAAATATCTAAGAAATAAAAAATATTTATTCTGTGTGTGAAGGTGCAAGTATTTATACTAATATAAAATATTGTTTATATAAGAAAATATACATTTGCTTAAAACCTTAAATTTTCATGAAAGCAATTGTTTATTCTGTTTAAATAAAGATATTAGATTTAAGTAAATATTTTATTATTATCCACTAAATAAATATTGTTTAGATATTTTTCTCTCAGTGAATATTATTAGATGCTAATATATTGATATTATGCACAAATTTCAGAATTATTGATTATTTTGTTTAGAAAATACAATAATAAAAGGTTTGCAATTTGTAATAATACTCTCTCTTTCTATATATATGCACTTATATGCCTCTTTCAATTATGTGTGCATCTCTATTAGATTAATTGACGCACAAATAAAACATTAATAAGAAAAATAAAAATATAATATTTTTCTTATTTGTTATGATGTGTGTGTATATTTATTTCAAGTTTGTCTCAAATTTAAATTTATTATTTAAATAATAACATAAATGTGTGGAAAAGTAATTTCAATAAATAATAAATTTATAAGTGATTCACTCTCTTGTGTGTGATGCGTTGATGAAAATGCGACATTAGCCTTACAACCTATTTAAAATTTTATAGCTATACAATATATTTCCGAAAAATCATTATATTTTTGATATTCTTTTATACTTATATAATAAATGTGCAAAGTTACAGATTAATATGTTGCGGGGTTTTTCTAGAAAAAAATTCCAGAGTATAGTCTATTTTTCCGGTCATTCAAAGGTCTTGAAGCGATTTTTATACGAAGATACAACCATCCGCTATCGTTAAGATCGTTAAGAAAACGAATACCCGAAGGCACCGCTATCTTCAATGGTCCCGTATAACGTCCAACAGTACCTCGCGCAAAAATACAGACATCATTCACCCGTCGGAATCGGGCGACGACGGCGTCGTCGATCCCATCGATCATCGATCGCGGCACCGGCGACTGACCTCGCCTCCCATTGTGTCCATTGTGTTCCAAGAACGATCGTTATCCAGGGAGAAAGAGAAAGACTTCGTGTGGTACCTTGCTGTAGGATACCATGTTACCGGAGCGAGAGAAAGAGAGAGATCGCGTTCGTACGCGATGGAGAAAGAGACGCGTGTATTCGCGAGCGAGCGGGATGGCTCCGTGGGGAGAGTAGGAGAGACAATGTGGCGCCCGTTCTCCAGGTGACCAAGAAGAACGGAGGGAAGAACGGACTAGCGCGGGCAAGGATCGGAGGAAGATGCAAAATGGACCAAGTACCGACGAAGTGGGGATCTGGATTAAAAGCAAACGAGGGCAACGTCTCGGCAACAGAGCTATCTCGGACCTTGAGGAGTCGAGGCCGGCCGTGGCATTTCCGTTCTATCCGCATTCATACGCAGCACGTTGGCTCTGTGTTGTTGTTGTTGTTGTTGTTATTATTTTTGTCATCGACATCATCGTCATCGACAGTCGCACATTACGAGCAGTTCCTGTATCGGGTCGCGCGTCTTTCTCTCTTCCCTGGAGGCGACAAGCCGCGCACGGGCCTCGTTGTTCATGTAATTAAAGGCGCCACGACTCGAACGACTGATATTGACACGGTCAGTGCGACAGGCGCGTTGTGCGGATTATCGTCGTCCTCCTTCGACGCTTATCGCGACACACTCATCACGAGAGTAGGACGACTCGCAGAGTCGTTACAAGACGATTGTGCGTAATTGCGGAGTGGGACACTTTGAGGTGGCGGATGACAGTGGTCTCGGGGAAATTGCGAATCCACACAAAGGTCTATTTTTCAATAGTAGTTTAAACTTCAATTTATGTTTAGATTCTGTTTTAACTATGTATTTAAACAAAGTTTAAACACAAATTTAAATTTAAACTACACGGAAAACACGTTTGGTTGGATTAATCACATTTCTGGTGAGGCATGAACGAATCAGAAAATTCCCCGGCTGAAGTTACCAGAATTCAACTTAAGTTAGCCAGAAATCTCGTTAACTTGAAATTCTAGTAATTTCCACCGGAATTTCTGATATGTTCATATTTTGTTAGAAATTTGGTTAAACCAACAAATTTCTTTTTTCTATGTACTATTGAAAAATCAGACCTAAACCTTTTCTCTCCCCTATAAACCTGCTCAACGAAATTGCGTTCGTGATTTTATTTATTCATTGTCGTCTTCAGCTTCGCGCACATCTGATTTTTGTGCAATGTCCTTCTTAGTATAACCATTTTTATACGCGGAAAAAACGTTTAGTTGGATTAACTAAATTTCTCGTAAAATATGAACAAACCAGAAAATTTCGATTGAAGTTACCAAAATTCTGTTTAATCAGAATTTTTGTTAATTTGAACAAAATTCTGGCAGCTTTAACCAAAAGTTTGTTAATATTTTTTACCAAAAATTTGATTAATCAAATCAAACTTTTTTTCCGTATAACAATTATAGAATTATACCATTTGCCGGTAACTTTAGCGACAATCTGCAGGAACGAAAGAAAATGCCGGGATAAAAATTCGAGATTGACGTACGAAATAAGGCTTTTCGTGTTTCAGATGACGCCAAGAGGAGCGGTCTACCTGCTCCTTACGATCTTGATGTTGGAAGGGTCGCAGTGCAGCACCAGATACTTCATGCAAGTACGGACAAACGCGTCCGAGATGTTCAAAACAAAAGCTGACAATCTGAGGATCCTCCAGGATCCCATAGCGATCACGCCAAATCCATTGTACGATAACATGCAGAGCGAGCATCAGAATGAGGACGAGAGGATGATGAAGGGTATTTCGAGCGACCAATATCATCGGAGGAATTCCTTCGTCGAGACCTCGACTTTTAATCCTGACGTACTCAACAAGTTCCTTGAGGACTACGCGAACAAGATTAGAAGTACTACGGAAAAAGACTTCAAATATCCTTACAGAATCCCGAAACCAACCACGGAATCGCTCGTCTTAGAGGTGGACGATGAGACTACCGAGGCTACCACCAATCATGAACAAGACGAGAAACTCGATCAGAGTACAAACGATACTTCGATCGAGGACGCGGTAAGGAACATACTTTTTGGGTAAAATGATAATAAATAATTATATTGGTAGATAATAATGAATATATCAAAGTGAGCGCGCTGAGTATTAGTTCACAGATGTATCAAATATCGATAACAAGTGACGAAAAGAAGTATTTTATATGTTATAGGTTTTTATATGTGTATTTTATATGTTTATAACTTTGTAAAAAGGAGCATAAATCATATCTCATTTGTGCTTAAAAAAATCGCTTAACACACCTGTGAACTAATGTGTCGTTATTTAAAGTGTAAATAGGAGAACCTAAAATGTTAATGTGCGTAGATTGATCATTGACTAAGACAGAAACATTCAGTGCGCTTCAAAATATTTATTATATGATCTGTTGTTACGTAATGAAGAGCGTGGTTGATGATCTCTCGTCATCTCTTATTCCCGTCAATCTAGTTGACCGAGCTGAACGACACGTTGAAGAGAAACAAGTATTATGGTACAAACACTTACGAAGACAGGAACGGCTGGGTGACGTTGGAGGCAATTCCGTGGTCTAAGAGCAAAATTTCCAAATGGCAGGCTAATCCCAGCACGCAGCGACCTTGGCCGGAGATAAAGCCAGCGTGGGATAAACCGAGCATGAAACCATGGGCCAGCGACTACTCCATCAGACCCACTTATGAAAACAACAAACCGTGGTGAGTACCGGCAACCGCCAATTTTCCTTTCACTATACGAGGCTGTGGACAATTCCGAAACAGACTTTGCGCTTATTACAACGAGACAAGACGCTTGCTATTTTATGTTTAAATTGAAACTTTTTTTTCGTGACTAAGTTTGCAATATGGCACTCGGCAATATATTTACAGTATTTAACAGAAAAAGAAAAAAATAGTTTAGGCAATATAGTTGTTCGCTTATTACCTTTTGTTTTGATTTTCTCCTCGAGTAGGAAAATCGAAATATACAAAAAAAAGAGGAAATATAATTAATTTTCTTATTTGTTCAAAATGAAAATTTCTTCAAAGATCAGTCGATATCTTTGATGAGAACTTTAAGACTTTAAATCAATCTTATTAAATCTTTATAAGTTTTATACCTTATACTTTGTGTAACAAAAACTAATATAGTATAAAATAAGAGATTAGATTTTAAAAGTATAACACAGTTACTTATCTTGATGGACCTTAATACTTTATATCTTTGCGACGACCTTATTTGAATTAGAGACTTATTAGCGCATTGAGAACTAAAAACTTTGAATTAAAATTTTTCTTTACGAAAACTCGGTCTTGGGAAAATGCAAGAGCGCTTGATCGAATCCCAGGTACGACAAGCCGAAACCCAACTGGTCCGACAACAATGAGAAGCCATGGCAAAAGCCGGTCTCACGTCCTCCTTATCACCCAGATGACGCGTCGTCATCTACCCAAGCGCAGAAGTGGCCACCAGAAAACAGGCCGTGGAACAAGCATGATCCTCATCGCCCGAGCGACATCATCACTGACGACAGACCGGCAAATTTTCCTAGCACTTGGTCGAGACCGCAAACCTCCAAACCATCGTACCAATTCGCCGACAAGTTTTCGGAGAAGGTCCAATCAGAGAATAACAACGATTGGCCGTCCAGATTCGATCAAGATCGACTACGACCCACTCTGATCACTGAGCGACCAAACTTCTCGCACTATCAGTACGTAAACAATCATCCACCGAGTCATCCGGCTAGCGGCGACGGCCAATGGGTCCTCTTATCAACAAACAGGGGATACGCCAAGTCGAGACAAAGGTCGATCAAGATCGATACAATAAGTCCGGAGATGTTCAAAAAGATCAACACGACAATGAGTCACCGCAACAGGGACAAAGAGGAATCGGATTCCGCAATACCCGTGATGACTTCGAAACGCCAGGTTAGGCTAAATGATCAAAGAGACTTGATTCTCTGTCATTATCTCTCCAAAGATATGATTTAAGTGCTTTAAATTTAAATATATTGTCAAATATATTGTCTATATCTCGTTGTGTGCCACAATTTCTCATGATTAATTCATTAAAGATCATCATTATTTTACAAAACTTTTTAATTAAATGATCAACTTACTTATTAGAAATCTTACATTAGTGTGTTACAACTATTTTTATTGAACACATAAATATAATTAAGAATTATATACTGAAAATATATATGTATAATTACACATTAATCAAGTGATATTATTCAAGCAAAAAGGAGAGCCCAGAACTGGGACCGGTTGTTAATAGATTAATTAAATGTAAAAAATAATCGCATTTGATGTTCAATCGAAAATCTCCGTTTTCACAATCAAAAACATTTTCTCCGTTCTTGTGAACTGGAGGCGATTCTTCAAGATCATCATTGACGGCCGCTTTATGGAAAATCGTTTACCTAGGTCAGATTGACGGTGTTGCCGTCGATCAACGGTACAAACACTACAACGTCTCACGGGGGCTTGTTGGAAGTCGAGAAGTCGTTCAAGAGCGTCGAGCAGAGCCGCAAGGAGTACGAGATGCAGAAACTGACGACCGAGGCAAATACCTTGAAGAAAAGACCGATCAGAAACACGCTGAGCGGCCAATCGTCGAGCTCAGCCGTCCTGGCAGCCGTTGGAGCAGGTACATGACTGTAACAAATCAACTACAAGTATCAAATATATAGACTAGGGTAAGACACTCCCTTACCCACAAAACACAACATCTAAAATCGAGATATAAGACGTCTTCTACGTTGTGTGGGTTAGTCATTGACACTTCAGTCAAACCTGGTTTTTCCTGCGATCAACCGCTGTTGTTCACAGTTTTAGTTATGAACTTCTCTTTTGGAATCATGGAGTGCAGGCAAGAAATTTAACTGCAATGCTGGTCGTAAGAAAAACCAGGTTTTCTTTCTAGAGCATCTATGATTAAGGGGTTGTCAATAATTGGTTGTTTTACCTTAGGCGACTTTTTATTCAAGTTAAGTAACTCTGATACTAATACTGAAATAAAAACCATTGCAAAATTATTATACCTCCATGACGACAGGCATGTTACCGGCGACGATGGCGATGATGATACCGATGATGCTGGGCCGTCGAAAGAGAGACGTCGCGCTAACGGAGCGTAGTTTGAGGAAGTCCAACGACCTCGAAGTGGATCTACATAAGCTCGCAACTGAGTATAACGCCCAACAGAGGAGACCAATGAGACTGTAGGTTGAAATTAAGATAACAAAATTTCCGTTCCGAGTCTAACCACGCGTTAGTGACGATTCGAGAGATGAGGAGCGAGACGCGACTATGCCGTAAGCGAATGATACTGAAACATTTAGATCTAGAACGTTGGGAATTCAGGATATCGATCACGTATCTCTTTCCTTAACGTGAACTCGTGAAAAGTGAAAAGTTTTATCGGCAGCTTTCATTCATTCAATTCGCGCGTCAATGAATCCTTTCATCAAACCTAACCTCAATCTCATTGATTAAGTTTGCCAATGAAACTTTTCACTTTTCACGAGTTTACAGCAGGGAAAAGGATACATGATCAATAGATTAGAAATAACAATGTTACTGAACAGTTCGCCCAGAAATTGAATAATTTTAGTGGAATTGGGACCTCTCGTCTGCTTTGCACGAGAATTTCAATTCCAAATGTACATTTGAAGTAAAACGTTCTAGAAACCTACCCCTCGCGAGCTGTTTTCTCGAGACACGCGTCACGGTAGTCAGTTGGATTATAGATATACCATTACTGAATATGTTATTGAATAATCGATGTATTGCCGTCCGTATATATGAGGGCAACTAAATACGATCGATTGAGAAAGAACCGCCACTTGTTGCTGTTCCGGTGGCGACTGAAGATAGAAAAGTGAAATTAGAATGAAGCGAAATATGTATAACCCCTGCGGATTTTTCAAGGACGCCGATAGGCCATTCGACAACATCCTCTGTGCGATGCGACCGCGCTCACGCGGGAGAGAAACAAGCGTTTGCAATCTCCAATTATATTTATTTACATAACGCATATCAGGGTATTACATAGTTGCATACTTATTTATTTATTTATTTATTCGTTCGTTCGTTCAGCTATTTATTTATTTATAATATACATTACAGCTATAAGTTTTGCCCAATAATCGACTCTTCCATACGTCTTCGCTCGTCCTCCAGCGAGAGGGTGAGAGCAGCACACATACCAAAACAATTATAGAGAGACATTAAGCGACTTGCAATAAAGATCTAATCGATCCTCGAAGAGAGCAAAGAGAGAGAGAAAGAAAGAGAGAAAGAGAAATCTTCCGAAACCCCTCCACCAATCCAGCGCTACCTTGCTCGTTTCGCCGTTGAACAAATTAATCCCGGAATGCATCTTATCGTGCGCTCTGCGACACCTTGCGCGTAGCAAGATACATTCCGTGTGCATGCGCGCGAGGATCCGAAGACCGACGTTAAAGCTCATCACGTTTTATCGAACGTTTATCGCAAGAGAATGTCGTCTTCGTCGTCGTTGTCGTCGATCATCGATCCCCCGCGCGTCTAACATCAAAGATCCTGGAGAAGAAGAAGAAAAAGAAGAAGAAGGAGAAGACGAAGAAGTCCATATCGCGTATTCCATACCTCGAAGAGGAAGACGTGACGTTACGTTCACCGGAGTAACAGTATTTCGTGTTCCTCTTCATCGTTTTAGCTTTCTAAGTGAAAGGACGCGGCGTCGTTTATCGCGGCGACGCGGACAAAAATGATCGCCCGTGAAATTACGTCTCGATCGGATCGACCGTGAAGTCGGCGGTCGCTTCTTCATGTCCGACTACCGTTACGAGACAGTTGCATTATGCCTCCTCTTCGAGTCCACGGTTGTCTAATAACTCGATTGTCCGCCATTACCCGCCCCGGAACGCAAAGTATTGATCACGTAACTTCTTTCTAAGGACGGAAAAGTGAAAAGTTTTACGTGATTTTAGCGATCATGTGTCTTGTCGAACAATAGAAATGTAAAACTTTTTACGTTCACCCTCCTAGAGAAAAATTACATGATCACTGATCAGTACAGTGATCATGTAACTTTTTCCTAAGAGCGGGAAAGTGAAAAGTTCCACATGAACTCAATAACTTTAGTGATCATGTGTCGAATAATGGAAACGTCCAACTTTTCACATTCGTACTCCTAGGGAAAAATTATATAACCACAGCTCAAAATAGTAATTATGTAACTTTTTCCTAAGAGCAAAAAAGTGAGAAATTTCATGAATAAACTCGAATATTTCCGTAATCATGTGTCTTTCTGAATAATAGAAATGTGAAATTGTTTCCTTTGCATTCCTAGGGAAACGTTACGTGATGGCCGCCTTTAGTTGATCATGTATTTTTTCACTAGCGTGAACTCGTGAAAACTAAAAGTTTCTCCTTTCTATTGTAAAAAGATACATGACCGCTAAATTGGTCCAGTTCACGTGTGAAACTTTTCACTTTTTACTTTCGTTTCTCTTTTTAGAAAAAAATTACATGATCGCTATTCCGAGAAGCGAACGCACTAAGTCAACCACTATGACTAGCGCGCACGTATCAAGGCGCATTGTCGCGCGACAGAATTTCAATCGTCACGAGGAGTTACCGCCGCTCCTCAAGTTTTCGCGATACATTCCACTCGCTCGTTCGCTCTCTTTTACGGTTTTTCATTCTTCGCCGTTGATCCTTTTCTGCACGTGGCCCAGATACCGAGCAAAACCCTCACTGGCGTGTTTAAGAATCGTCAAGCCCAGCCTAAACTTGATCTCAGCCACCTTCTTCACAAAATTGAAGAGGCTGAAGCCCTCCGTGGGCTTCTGCGTGGTCGAGCTCTCGAACCACTCGATAGTCGTCGTCTCGGCGTTCTTGGAACTCGACGACGTCGTATTCACAGTGTGCGTCTCCTCCGTGGTGTCCTTATTCGTATCGTCGTTCGTTTCCTCGACAGTTTTCGAGGTCGATTCCACGCTTTCGGGAACCCTCGTCGTGCCTTCTGCGTTTTCCAAGTTTTGAGCGAGGGTGGTGAAAGTCCTCATGGTGGATTCCTTCGCGCGCATATTAACCTCTTCCTGCCGTTTCCTCTTCTGCGCCTCCAAGTCCTCGACCTCGTTATTGTTCTCGCTGCTGTTTCGAGTTTTTTGATCGTCCCCGCCCGGTAGCGCCAAGTCGATAATGTCCAAGATCTCGTTGCTCAAGTCCTCTTCTTTTTCTTCCTCCTCTAGTTCATGCTTCGACGGTATCACCTGTATTACCGACTCTCTCTTCGACCGCGAAAGGCGGCCATCTCCGTCGATAGACGCGGCTCGTTTCACCTTGAGAGACCGCGGTCCATGCTCAACAGCTACTGCAGTTGGCGTGATCTCGATTTCTTCGTATCCGTCGTCCGTCCTAACGGTCGACGCTTCAGAGAGGTGAGCGGAACCGTAACCGTGCACATTGCCTGAACCTGGTGGGAAGTTGAAGCTCTGAGCAATGTCACGCTCAAATTGCGTCTGTCCGCCTTCAGTCGACTCATAGCCGTTTCCTTTCTTGCTGACTATAGGTAGAACGGCGGCTTTCACGTCGAATGGATACTCCTTAGGTACGTTACCGACCACGAATTGCCGATTCGCTGATCCCGGCACTTCGGCAAGTCTTTCTACGTGCTTGCGATCATAATAAACCGGCGTAGTTTGTATCTCGGAGTACCTGTTGTAGTCTGTGTTACGATATTTCACTGCAGATTGAGTGTTCTCCGCAGGTCTGTAGAGTGGAGACGTGGATACAGACGGGTATCTGGAATTAGAGTTGTACGAATGTAATTATTTGACTTATATTCGCCCTAATTTGTGTATCTATCATAACACCGCATCTTTTCTCATACTACACCCGAAGTATCCCACCTTTGTTAGAAATTTAACGAAAAGAAAAATGCTCTTTGACGCATAAGAAGAAAAGACCAATAAAAGCCAAACAAGATCTCAATTACGAGATCTATTCAATGCGAAAAAAAATAAAGAATGACGCACCAAACGGACTCTTACAAAAGTTGCTTTCAATCGTCACTCTGATCCCTTTTAGTGGAGAAAAACAAAAATAACACACATATGTTATATTATATATATGTAATATTACAACTCACAGTAAACATTGTTTAACAGTAATATTACATCAATATTATAATTCTCAACTTAATAATATAAATACAATGTAACATTTGTTATACGTAACAATTATATTGTTGAGTGGGAATTTATTGAGTTATAACATTGATGTAATGTTACTGTTAGTTAATGTTTGTTTTCAGCTGGGAAAAGGAGTAGAATATTTTTGGATTAAACGTACCACCCTAGAATACAAAAAGCAGAACACCGTAAACTTCACAATCGACACAAAAATGAGATTTAGGGTTAGAGCCTTGCTCAAATCAAGGCTCAATACCTAATCTGGCCCGATCATTATAAAATTGGTCTGTATCCACTTTAATAAAATGAGACTCTGCTTCTTGTCTTGACAAAAAGCTAATCCAGACTAAGCTCAGATTTGACTTTACCAAAGCAGATATAGATCAGACCAGATTATATTCGATAATGAATGAATATTGGACCTTTATTTGCAGGGTTTGATATGTCTCTTAGAATTCCTGCATTCCACACAAGTGGCATGTATATAGTCTAAAAAATTTATTGTAACACTATTTCTGTTTTTTCCATTCAAAAAGTTCGGAATGACGATCGAAACGTTTAAGCAATTCTTACAGAAATCCATTTGGTGTTTCATTTTTAATTTTATTTTTTTTCATGATTGAGTAAGTTTCGTAACTGAGATCTTGCATTGGCTCTTATTGATTTTTTTCTTCTCGTTCATTATGAAAACAATAAAATCCATTCGATTCTATCATAACCAAAACTTTAAGTTTCTAAATAACCCTACTCGATACGAAAGAGAACTAATATTTTCCCTACTCAATACTCAAGAACTAATTATAAACATCCCAGTGACTTCAATGAACGAACGGATTGATAGCGGCTTTAGTTATGATAGAGAACATAAACTTTTAAAATACGTCTTAAAAAATTTCAAAGAACGTCTTATTTTCTTTTTAGACGCGTTTTTACGTCTTTAAGTTGTCTTTAAAGAAGTTTATGTTGTATCTGAGGATATCTTTACAGAACTCTACCTGGAGTCAACTCTCTTCGTCGTCTGAGCGTCGTACGCGCCATCGTAATGCTGATAATGATAGTAGTTGTTTCCTTGGTCCTTTATTCCTGGATATTTGCCCTCGTGATTCGTCATTCCCTGAAACACCTTGGAGAGCACTTCCTCTTCGCTCTGGCCATAGTTACCGTCATAATCCTCCAAATTGTACTTGTAGTTCGGCTCCACCTCGTAGTTCCTGCGAGAGATAGTGCCCCCGAAGGGATATAAGAAGTACGAGGCTAGACCGAGACCAAGACCCACCAACGACATCACGCCGAAGCTCGGCATCACTTCGCGACTGAGGAAGTTATAGATCTGCGTGCTGATCGCCTTCTGCGGCTGTTTCTTTTTTGTCTTCGTCGTATTCGTTGCAATCTTCGTCTCAGGCGCGATCTTCGATTCCTGAACTGCGTTGTCTATGACAGTGGAGTCAGTGACACTCTCGCTAGTCTCTATTAAAGTAGACATTATGCTCGCTACCGTCGAACTTGGCGCCACCGAAGTACTGGACGGTTTGCGTCTACGACCTTTGTTCTTCTTCCTCTTCGAATTGTGTCTCGGTCGTTTCGTCGTGGTCGCCGCTGCGGTTGATGAAGGCGTCGTCGCCGTTGTTGCTGATGTCGTTGTCGTCGTGGCTACTTCCGTTTGCGTCTGCACGTTGATCTTCGTTAGCTCGGGATTAAAGTCGAATTTTAAGTCTATCCTGGAATTCGCAAGATCATCTGTATCCTTCTCCATGATCTTGTCCAACTTGTCCTTGTTTACCTTCTCGATCTTCAAGATCGGAGCGTTCACCTTGATCGGTTCGACCTCGATCTGCGTGGTCTCATCAGCAGGCTTCTTCAGCTGCACCTTTAATACGTTGTTGACCTTCGTGCCGATCGGCTTCGACCTCACCGGCACTTCCACGAGATCCGCACCTGACAGATTCGACTTGGACGTGGTAGTAGCACTCAAGGTGGTTGCAGTGGGTGCTGGCAGCAAAGTGGTCGGTATCTTCTGCGTGTCCATGAGTACTGAGGCTTTTATCTTGGTGACGAACATTGGCCTCTCGGTATTCTCTGGCCTGTTCTTTGGGCTCGTAATTATTTGAACAGGCTTGAACGTCACCTTCTCGATTTTGCCGGTCGACGCGGTCTCGTTCTTTATCGTTTCAGGTTTCACCGTGGTTCTCTTCGTCGGGTTAGGCTTCGGTCTACTTTGCTGACTCGGTCTCGACGGTTTCGTCGTTACCGACGTTGGCTTTGGATGCAAAGTCGTCCTCGACGTGACCTTTGGCTTAGGGGTAGTCCGTGGACTTTGATTTTTCTTCGTTGTGGGTGCAAGTGTCGTGGAAGTTACTCCGTCGTTTGTTGTAGCACTTGCTGTCGTAGTACGTACCATTTTCAAGGTCGTACTCGAGGAAGTTTCTGCTTTCTCCAGACTCTGAGTGATCTTCTCCGGCCTCAAAGTAGTTGTGCTCTTCTTCAACGTGGTTGATGTTGGCTTCTTTGTACTGACAGTTATTTTCTCCGTGGTTATAATAGATGTCAGCTGCGGCGTGGTCTTCTCTGTAATCTTTTCAAGTTGCGGGATCGTCTCCACCCTCTCTATCGACGAGCTCGGTCTTACCGTCAGTCGCACTTCCGTCTGAAAAGGTTGCTTTGTCTTTTTCTCAACCTCCATGACGCTCTTCATGGTCGTAGACGGTGGATTCAGCAGAATCCAAGTGGAGATGCCGCCGGTGGTGGTAGGATGATTCTTATAAGCTGTTATCAGCCTTGTGGTGCTCATCTCTCGTTCCAACTCCTCCTCTGTTATGGCCATCGCGTGACCGGGATGACTGTTTTCGAATTTATTTTCGAAGTAACTAAACTTCGAATTAATCGGTCTGCCAAAACTTACGCCCATGGATTCCAAGTTACTGATCTCTGAGTTGATCTCCTTTATCAACGACACGTCACTCTTCTCTGAGGTCTTCTGCGTCGTCCCGGTGCCATGTTCGGCCTTTATGAGCTCTTGACTGCTAGTCTTTACTATGTCCTCCGGGCTCGTGACGTTAAGTAATTGGGTGGCGACCGTTCTCAAAGATTGGTCCATGTATTGCAAATCCTTCAAATCACGCTTGGTGTTGTTCAATTGCCCGCTGAAAACAAATTCTGTTGTCAAATTTCGTCAGAAGTGAATCAAACGTGGTTCCATTAAACAATTTTTTTATTTGAATTAGTATAGTTATTAACGAGATAAAATCACAGTGGGATCACGCTGCATCTGACAAGATGGGCCACGAAGTGTGAGTCACCGATTTTGATAGGCTTTGGCACAGACCTTCTTCATCGAAAATAAATAGACACATATCTCGCCGTTTGTCTAGGTACCCACCTGTTTTCGAAAAAATCTAGATCAAATGTCATGGCATCGGATTCATTGCGGATTAGGGGATATCTATAGAGTTTCACAAACCGATTAATTTTCACTAATATATTTGGGGCTCGCAAGTCTATATTTTTCGAATTATTAAAGATTATATATGCATCCTTAATAGCATAAATATCCAGGAGACATCCAGAATATATCCTAAGAACGTCCTGGAAACGTTTCTACGTCCTCAGGACATCTGTGGGGCGTCCCCAAGAGATTTTGTGCTGTATGGGATAAATAACTGTGACTTCGTTAAAATATCGGACTCATGTTCCGTGGACCCATGTTCGATTCTTCGTGCTGTTTTTTTTTTTTTTTTTAATATTTTCATAATATAAAATATATTATTCGCTGTAAAATAAATAACAATAATTTAATTCGCTAGAAATAAATAATAAAATTGTTTTTGAAGATCTATAGAGATACTTTCTGGTCCGAAAAGGATCCGACGCCATGATATTTGACCTCGATTTTCGAAAACGGGGAGTATCTAGACAAACGATGAGATATGTATCTATTTATTTTCGATGAAGAAGGTCTAAGCCATCAAATTCGGTGACCTACACTTCGTGGCCTTCCTTTATGAGATAAATTTATTTCATCTTACGTATCGCAGTTTGTGATTAAAATAATACAGCCTAATTTGGTTGCGTTTAATTATCGCTTATATTAATCAAGAGATTGGAATATTTAATACTCCAAATCTTCAATAAAGAAATACTTTAATAAAAAAAATTAGCATATTATATTTTACAAAATAAATTCACGAAAATCAAGATAGTTTATGTTTCGAAGTTTGATTTAACTCATAAACTAAAGTTCTTTAAGTAAAGAACTTTATGTTTTATGTGATCATGTTAACTTATCTTGTTCTAATAATAATCATGAAATATCATTAAAAGATTTCTAATAAACAATATATATTTGGTAATTATCGACTATAACGGAGCACCCTGCAATGACCTCCACCTTGATATATATATTATCAAGGACACTGTTCTGAGTAACAATCAAAAGATTTTAGCCGATGCTCATTGTTTTTTTAAAAAGTTATTGATAAAAGAAGTTTGAAAAATATATTACAGTTTTTTGATACTGTGTACCGTTAACGAGCAATATCGAATAATAACTGCAATATCAAACAACTAGCGGGGGGCTGCGCCCTCGCACCCCCTAAAAACTAACCTAACCCAACCTATCACACGTCACATTAACACAAAAGTTGAACACTTTAATAAACAATGACTGACGCTTAATGTGACGATAGGTTAGGTTAGTTGTTAGGCGGGGTGCGGGGGGCGCAGCCCCCCGCTAGTCGTTCGAGATTGTAGTACTTACTAAAAAAAAGATATTATAAATTATGTATGTGTAGTAGGCATCTTCTTAATTTACAAATTCAAAGGTTTTGTATATAGGATGGTGAAAAATTACATTCATTTTATGAAGTTTTACAAAATTATAACAATTTTTACAAATGATCATTTTACAAGATTTTCCTTAAGACTTTTAGCCTCGCCGCGAAACTTTTATTGATAACATCAGAAAGAAAAAATTCTTGCAAAGTACGTCAAAATAAAAAGATATATCCAAAAAATAACACTTGCATTCAATTAAACATACTTTGCAATACTCCGAACATTTTCTTTTTACTCTAACAAGCAATAACCGTAAAATTAACGTGACATGCAATCTTTCTTTTTAACCTACATTTTCTCATTATTTTGTCACATTAATTTTATAGTTATTTATTGATTGTTAAAGCAAAGGGAAAGTATTCGGAGTTTTTTTAAAGTATGCTTAATCGATTTTAAATGTAATTTTTGATGTATTTTTTCTTTTATTTGGACGTATAAGAAAGAGAGAGAGAGAGAAATTTCGATATTTATTTCTTCACTTCTGATGTCAGATCAAAATGGCGACGAGGGACCAGAAGCCTTAATGAATAACCAATTTTTCACTTGTTCCAAGATTATTCACAATCATTATTATCAAATTATTTATTAAAAATGAAGCAATTAGAAAAAATCGATAATTTTTTTACTTCATAGCTCCATAAGTCAATAACGGTAGATCTTGGATTACATATTTATACGAACTTCTCGCTTCTTTTTTATAATTTATCACTTTCCAAGAGAGAGTTAGTGACGTCGACTATTGAATATTTTATATATGTGTATATTAATAGATTCTAACCTTAAAATATCAAATTAACTAATACACTAATATAAATAAAAATAAAAATATATCATATTTTGACTATCGAAAATATGTCTGCACCTTTTTCGAAACAGAGCAGCAATAATAAAATATTTGTCAATGACCTCGGGCTGCACACCAACTAGCTCTGGGCATGCTGGCCAGGAGATACTGTATGTTCACATTTATGTTATTATAGAAAAAAAGTATAAACTCGCAGAATCATACTTAACATAAAAACATAGAGAGAAATTATCTCTAATATCTTTATATAGTCAATCTATTTACAACAATTCATTGTTTGAAAGCTTCTAACAAGAAATCCTGAAAAGTATAATATCTCATTTTCTTGGTATAATTGCTCCCGTTTCCCATATTTTCTGTACAATTAGTAGGTCATTTGTACGGTAATTTATGTAGAATATGATTAAATTAAAAATACAATGTGAAAATTGCGAGGTGCAATAAGGAAATAATACAGTTTAAAATTAATTATTATGACACAAATAAATTTTTATATCTGTATAATATTTTAGAGCAATTTAAAAATAAGGATACTTTATAAAAAATAAGGATAATTTATTAAAGTCTAATTCTAGTTAGATTTTGTAAAGAGAAATATATATATATATATATATACATACGTACGTATATACATATATACGTATGTAAATATATACACATACAAAATGCATATAAATGCATATAAATGAGATGTATAATTTATAATTCGATAACCGTTAATTACGTAATATTATCTTACTTGATAGTACAACAATATATAATATTGTTGTTATATTTATTAAAAATATATATTAAACAATAAATTTGTGTCCGGACGCTTTTAATAACTTTATAATTCTCCTCACTCCAAAAGTTCTAAGGTTTCATATGTACTTAAAAAAAAAGTTAATATAGCAAAAATACTTGAGATTTGATAACGACAAAAATCATTAATTATTGTTTGAAAATAACTAGAGTAAATCGATCTTGGACACGAGTGATCCTCTTATTCACTTAATATATATATATTATACTACTTTTATATTGTGGTACGTGGAAGTTTTGTTTTCCTCTTTATATATAGTGTATATTTCAATAATCTTTCAAGTTATTTTAATATATTTAACTGTGGTATTTGGATGTGGTATTTTTATATTTTGATGAAACTATTAAACTAAGCAAACACGGGAACACAGGATGCATGTTTCTCTTTTGATTTCTTGTGTTTCTTACTTTTTTACTTACTTTTGTATAATGGGTAAAAATGTCATTTAAAGTTATTTGATCATATTTTCTTACATAAAAATATATCATTTTGTCAAGTTAAAACAATTTGACTCTTTCAAGATATCATATTTTGTTCATTAATTATTACGGCTTTAAATATAAATCCCACCAAATCTGTTTGTTTTTTTTCTAAGAAATATTACAAAATTTATGATTTTTAAAACAAAGTAGCTTTTACGTAGCTTCTGTCTTGTTCGAAAAACAATTATAAATCATATAGAACTTAATTTTTTTAATGATCTCATAATTTATTAGCTGAGGCTTGAAAAAGCTATTTGAAATTTTGCACAATTTTTCAATAATTTTAAGTTAACAAACAAATGCGTCGGACAAGTATGATCCTCCTATTTACTGTTACAAAATCGAAATTATTTACTTATTGCAACAGTTCATAATATCTATAGAAAATTTCTTTTTTTCAAAAATGCAGCAGAATTAGGATGGGAATAGATAGGATAAAATGACAGGATAAAATTGATACGGGAAAAAGTAGGTACATATATATTTTACATAACGTACAAAGGCATAAAGAATCATATAGGCCATAAGAAGATATCAGTCATTGTGTTTCGAATGCTTTATTAGTATTACATATTCATTGGCACAAGTACTGCTAATGCCCTGAAATGGTGTAAGCTTCAATTATGTTAAAGTACTGACACAAAACAGGGAACACTCACTAATAATCGTAAAGTTAAATATTGCCATCAGAATTCATATTAGTATGCACATATATGATATAAACGGAACACTGTTCCACGCACTATTCTACGCACGATCGTAATAACGACGGACAATAACAGGGAGATAAGATACTAACGGTAATTGTACTGATTATCGCTCAATTTCTTGTTATTCGCGTTAGTTATGGTTATTCAATAGTTAAACGGTTTAATATTATCCCGCTATGCTACTTTTGGAAAAGGTATAGTTATTGCAAATATCGTACAAAAATATATCATAAATATATACACGGCGAATCATTAGCGATTTTACTTGAATTATATCTATAATATAATACGACGGATGAGTGATATTAATCAGATGTTTATCGTATTAGTGTCGTTATTAATATATTAATATTAATATAATCAATGGTCATATCTTCCAAACATGCTAACAAACTTCATTCGTAAGGTAGTTGTATCATAAAATGAGTTTCGTGAGAATTCAATAAAATTTTGTACTAAATACACGGTGAAATATTATCTAACAGCTCGTGCAATTAAAAAAAAGATTTGACCATTCGAGAGCTTAGATTTTTGCAACTAAGCACTTTTACACTTTACTTTAACATTTTTTATACGAGTTTCTTGAGGCTAGCATACTATTTTTAATTTATGTATTTTCCAAACTATATAATATCTTCCAAACTATATAATATCTTCTAAACTTTAATATCTTCCCAATTACATATGAGATTTTAATGAAAAACTGAAATAAATGTATATGTATATACGATATTACAAATATGAAAAATTATTATTTTTTATTTTTCTGATGAAAGATTTCTTTATGCATCAGTTTATCTGATACATATATACGGATAATAAAAAAATTTATATATATATATATATATTTCGAATATCTTCCCAATTACATATGAGATTTTAATGAAAAACTGTTACAATATTGAAGACTAATATATTTTAGACATTATATAGAAATTTCAGGATTACTGGTCATTTTGATTTCAAAATGCAGCGGGATGAAAAGTCCATATAATTTATAATAATATTCGAAATACATATATATATATATATATATATAAATTTTTTTATTATCCGTATATATGTATCAGATAAACTGATGCATAAAGAAATCTTTCATCAGAAAAATAAAAAATAATAATTTTTTCATATTTGTAATATCGTATATACATATACATTTATTTCAGTTTTACTTCAAATTAACAGTGATAGTTAGATAGTGTAATAAATGTATAGAGAGACGTAATTTTGTTTGATAAATAGTAAATTTATGAGTAGCTCCTTTAATGCGTTAGTGAAAATATGCTATCTAGCCATACAACAACTACCTTGACGAGCAAAAATGCCTGCATAAATCCAATTGCACTTCTTTTAGTTCTACTTAACTTCTCCCTCAGGAAGTTTTATTCTACTGTTTTTCCTTTCCCAGGAAAAAATCATATCTATCTATATAATCCATCTAACTCTAATTTTGTTAGACTAAATGACTCTAACTAGAAGATCATACTCGCTTCATACGAGCTGTGTTATCATGGCTCCCCTATCAATCTACCCGCATATCTATCCAAGACACACGATTTACAATGCTGCTGGAAGTAGCAGTGGACGATGATCTCGAGTTATATACATTGTGCGCGCGCACACGAGAGATCGAGAATCCAGAATTCATCTCCTGCGCTTCCTGCGCTTGCTCTTCCACTCGTTCAAACGATCGTACTTGTGCACGGCCTGCCTAACGAACTCCTCAAGGCTCGGCCTGAACCTGACGGTGACTTTATCGGCGGCACGACCGAAGTCGAAGGCGCTCGGAAAGGCCCACGGGAAGATAAACGCAGCGACGCCGAGCACACCGGCCGCCATCGCGGCGAACGGTGCCGCGGCTAGGCTGAAGAAGCTGTAACCCAACGGATTCAAGAAGGTAAAGTACGTGAAGACCGAGGTCATCGATTGCATCAGGCCGCCAGGCGTCATGTCGAAATCGTCATCGTCGTCGTCGTCGTCATGGTGCGAAGATGATCCCGCAGAACCGTGCGACGCACCACCCGAGCTTGACAAGCTCGGCTTGCCCCCAACACTCGGTCGACTGGGTCGACTGGGGAGACTCGGCAAAGAGGGAAGCTGCAGAGTACCTGACGGTACGAGACCGTTATTCGCTAGACCCATCGCTGTGCCGGGTTCGTTGAGCGACGACGGCAGAGCGACGACGGGCACGTTTCCGGCAGCCGGTGCGTTTCCGGCAGGCGAGCCACTCGCGGAAGCGCCACTAGCAATGTCGCCGACTCCAACAGCTGGCGGCAGGAGCGCGGAACTCGACGCGTCATCGCCGACGCTGGGACCGTCGACGGATGAGCCAACGGCGTCGGCTGCACCGTCAACCACCGGACCTGCGGTCGCTTCCGTATCTTTTAACGGAATGTACGGCGCGGACACGCTGATCTGGGTACCCTGGAACACCTCGACGGTCGACAACTCCGGGGAAATAGGATTGTGACTCGAGATCCCGACGGGATCTTTCTGGGAATCATAGTAGTCGCCTTGCACCACTGGATACGGCGATTGGAACGAGCCAGAAGAGCCGTATGTGTCGGCTGACGCGGTTACGTAACTGTTGGAGGAGTCCTGGTGAGAGAGGTCGTCGGCGACCTCTTCTACGTACTTATTGCTCTCGTCCGTGTCGCTGTAGCTCTGCGTCGCTACAGAAGTCTGTTGTTGAGTCTCGGTCGGCTCTCCGCTCGGCTTGAAGACGTTCGTGTTGAGGACGTGAGAGTTGATGATTATATTCAGGTCGGTGCAACCCTCTTTGCTCTGAATCGTGTTGTTCACGCGGGTGTAAGAATTGATCATGATCGTCGGGCAGTTTGAGTTGTCAGACGGCGACGGGAAGGCATTGGTCTCCTGCTTCGGAGGTGTCTCGTCTTCATCCTTTTGAGAAGTGAACATTATGTGAACGTTGGGCCTTTGGACCATTTCCGAGGGAGTCTCCTCGGAAGAGGAGTCTGAGGAGACCGCCTGGTCGGTTAGGACTGATGCGTCGCTCGATTCAGGTACTTTTAGTTGCGTCACGGTAACATTCGGTTTTTTCAAGCCGTCGTTCAGGATATGCACCACCGTATTCTGCGACACGTGCGTCGTGGGATTGTAAACGATGCTGTTATGCTTCGGTAACGTCAGCTCGGACCAAGAGTTAGAAAGCAAAGTATCGGGCGTGCTCGAAGGAGTTGTCGCATATTGAGGACGAACGACTGAGGTCGATGGACTCGGCCGCCGATTTGGGTAATTATGATAATCTATTCTATCGAAATCTTGACTCGTAACCGCATTCTGAAGCACCACGGTGCCGTAACTGCCATCGTGGACCTCAACATTCAGCGGACGATTCGGCTCGAGGTTCTCATAGATCGATTCGAGCACCGACTCAATCGGTTTGTGAACGCTGTCGTGTTGATTGACGGGAAAGCGCGTGTTGTTCGGCACGATCGGCGGTATCTTCAGCCACTGAATAATCTTCTTCACGCTGGAGTCGAGTACCGGGTCTGTGTGATTGATGTAAGCGCCGTGTGACGACAGAATCGAAGCCGCCGCCTGGTCGGCGTCTGTGTCTTCATTCGTCTCCACCAAAGACGCGGTGTACTTCTCGTAATTGTACAGATCCTCGATATCCTGGAGCGCCCCGTTCGGCCAGTTCTTCGGGTCGTGCGTGGGTATACCGCTATCAAATTCGTCTCTCGTGCTATTCTGATCGCCGACTCTCACGCTCTGACTCGGCACCTTCTGAGCGCCAGCAGAATGATAATTGCTCGTTGCCTGTGTAGTCTGCTCGCCCGAGTCGAGCTTCTTCTTCGCAGATGTCTGCGTCAAGTGGCTGCCCTTCGTCAGTTCTTCCGTTCCAGAGGCGGCAAAACGAATGTCATCGTTCGCCTTTAGTTTTGTCCAATCTCTGGGGTTCAGCGCGACGTCGCTTTTTGATAGTGGATTTTTTACCTGCGACTTGACGACCTGATTGAAGCGCGAATTCGAGATGGCGGGTCGAAGCCTGACGAAATTCCTATTAGACGTTACCACTTTCCTGCGAGACGCGGGTTGACCGTGATCACCGGCTCCTGGTTTTGCTTTCTGGATCAGGGTCGAATACGCCTTGAGCGCCGCTTCGCCTGAATTATTCAGATCGCCGCGTCGAATGTTGGCGACATGGCGAAGAGGGTCAACTACGACTTGCGACTTCAAATTCTCGTAAGAAGCTACGAACGAGTCCACTCCGTCCGTGATTTTATACAGCAAATTGGGATTCTGATAAGTCGTGTGAATCGCAACACCTCTCTGACGATTACCCTGGACATTCATTCTCTCTGTCTGCGAGGGTGAGGAAGAGGAAGAAAAGGAAGAAGAAATATGCGAACCTTGCTCTTCTCTCCGAAACGATACATTACTTCCAACGAGATTCTTTTTTGAAGACGAATTGACTTTAACTGAAGACAACATCTGTCGATTTTCTCCCGCAATGCGGACATCGCGAGAGGTTACACCTGCAAAATTCGTCCCCTTAAAAGCTGACGCGCGACTACCTGAGGGAGCATTTTCCGCGAGCGAATATCTCGCTGGAATCAACATCGACTTGTAACTTAGACTCGAAGTCACGTCGGACTTAGACTTCTCCAATTTGTTGACTCCCACTTTACGAGAGTGACTTCCTCCACCAGAGAAAGAATCAGATTCTAAGTTGGGGCTTTTATTCGACGCTAAGACAGATCTTACCCAATCTATCTTCTCGTCTTGAATTTTCTTAGGATTAACAAGAGGACCGTGAAATGAAGGTCCAGTCTTAACCTCGCTTGAATTTCGAACGATCTCCGAAATCCCGCCTAATGTCCCGTCTGTCCTTAAAACGTCCGAAGGATCGGCTTTAGCTTTAAATTCGGATGACGTCCAGATGTCATCGATCTTGGAACGTCGGGCGCTAAACGACCGTGTCGTCTTGTTTGGCGCGAAACTGCTTGCGCGTGAACCGACTGCGTTATGCGCGCGCGATGAATCAACGCTATCGCGGAAATATGTGATATATGACTTTCTATTTCCGGAAGTCCCTGTATACCTGCTATCGTCTCGAACAATATCGTGCGACTTGTTCGAGGATCGGACGGCTCGCCATCCCGCGTTGCTCGCACCCGTCGCTTCCAATTGCGCCGCCGCATCCGCATCTGAAAGTGAAGGGGAAAAAATTGTTATATATAAATATTTAATTAATCTCGATAGTAATCGTAATAATAAAAGCTTTACACCTGATTGAAATAAATCTAAAAGTTCTATTATTATAGAAACATACTCTTTAAATTTCTTGGAGTGAAATTTTATTTAAAAAATAGAGTGACAGCCGAGTCCCTCGATTTGAGTGAATTTTTATATACTGCAAATTTTCTTCAATCTAAATCGTCGAGTGAATATTTTTATTTGAAACTGAAGAATAAATCTGATGCAATTCATGACAGAAACATATTCATTCTAATCGACTGAAACATTCGCTTATATGCAGCTACAATCCACTGTGCACACAGAAAAATATCATTTTACTATGCTAAGAAAAGCGATTATTCTGTTTACTTTCTTTTAAGTAATTGTTATTTTCAATATTTTCTGCTTAAGTAATTGTTATTTTCAATATTTTCTGCATAATAGTTTTAAAATATATTAATATATAGATTTTAAAACTGATAACAACATAGATTTAAAAAAAATTCATTATCATGTATTAAAAGAAGAATTTATTCTCTTTACAAGAATATTATAAAACTTTAGCTGATTCGATTCTATGTAATAAACAAGCAAATTTTTACTCTAATTTAATATTTTTCACTAAAATGTTAAATTGATTAGGATTCAAAATGTATTTTGCATAAATTTTGTGATTATGATGAACTTATGATAGACGCGGGTATATAAACTTATGAAATACCTGAAACAAGTAATATTTACTTGAATGCAATATATATTATGTATGTACACAAAGAAGAATATTTTACTGCTAAAAAAGCGAACTTACTTTCCTCCTATTAAGTAATGATTATTTTCAATAAAGTATATTTTTTAGATAATAGTTTTAAAATATATTCATAAATTTTAAAGAAACTTGTTATCATGTACACAAAAGAAGAATTCATTCTTTTTACAAGAATGTTATAAAACTTTATGGAAAAAAAAAAAGTTGGTTCGACTCCATGTAGTAACTCCATGTAGTAACTAAATGTTCGTTTTCACTTAATATTCCTAATTGAAATATTAAAATATTGTTAAAATACTAAATTTATCCAGAAACTATCCATTTTTAAGTATTTATACTAAACTATCCAGAACATATTTTGAATACATTTGATACTTATGATGTGTATTAAACTTTGATAGTTTGATGAACTTATGATAGATTTGCGAATGTAAAAACTTATAAAATACTTGAAACAAGTAATATTTTATTTAACATAGTATACATTTTTCTCGTATAAACAATGAATAAAACATTCACATTCGTACAATATCGTATGAAAATTATGCCATTTTTCACTAGTTTTAAGTAAAACATCACTCCAAGAAATTTAGAGAGTAGGAGGATTAATAAGTTCAATCATTTAATCCGTTATTCGTATCCGTAGACTGCATTTAAGATCTTTAATCGAGAAAATACAATTTATTATAAATTAGATAGTTTAGACTTTTAGTGAAGAAGTTTGATCTGGCTTCCGAATTTCACGCTCCTCGCAAATTTACTTTCGACGTTTCGCGAACATTTCTGTTCATTTCTTGAGCGAAAGACAAGAAATTTTATATTTTTATATTATACTTCTATATTATACTTTTATATTAACTCTATAAATTCTATAAAACTTGAAAGGTCAATATAAAATCTTAATATCTATAGAATTATTAGAATTGGTCAACAGTGCAGTGTAATAAATCTTTTAAATTCAATAACAATTTTATTGAAACTAATGTGTTTGAGTTATTGAAACAATGTGTACTATATTTGTTTTAATAATTCAAGTATTAATTTTAATATAATTGCTATTAAATAAAGATTTAATCCAACTGCGACGCTGTTTACCAATTCTAATAATTCAGCGACATTTTTGTACTACAAATGATTACTTATATTTAGTGGCATGTATTTAGTATAATGATATTTATATAATAGTAATATAGTAATATTTTAATGACATATTATTATATTAGTGACATATATTTCTATGACAAAGCTAAAAAAAAGGATTTGTTTCAGAATTATTTAATATTTGTTATTTTGAAAGTCGTTCTTGTTCCTGAAAAAGTGATTTAGAATGTTCACGAAACGTCGGAAACAATTTCACGAAGAACGCAGCAATAATTCTTACAAGCCAGATATGAAATATTATAGAATCGTATTTATATTATTCTATTATTTAAATCAATATTTTGTAAGTGTGAAATATATATGGATTGAAGGATAATCAGAGATTCTCTCAATAATATATGTTTATTTGTAAAATAATTATTATTAACACCAGTTTTAGAAACGCAACGTCAACGAGATTCACAACGTTTATAATAACAATGCGCTAATAATAGTCGATCGCGTCAAACCTTTCGTATCTCGTTGCAACGGCGAGTTTCTCAATGACATCGCTTCTAGCGTTTAACGAGGAAATATTTCCTGATATTGAGACATTCGATTTTGTAAGGAAAGTTATGTAATGTATGTCACATCATACATAATACATTGGCACCATCATATTGAACAGATAACAGGTTATAAATTGAAGATACATGGTTCATTAGCCACACAATTGCGCCGTTAAGAAGGCATCAATTTCGCGTCGGAAAACACTGTTTCCGGAATCCCGCCTCATGATATTACGCGATTTCATTGTTAAACGTTATCAACGTATTTCAGTTGCGTCCTCCTCTCGTAATCTCTTTCAAAAGATTATAGTCACGTAATTTCCTTTACGCTTTTACTTACCACTCCTCTGAGGTCTGGTATCACCGGATCCTGCCATCAGCAGGACCACCACTAACTTGAAAAGTTTCGTCCGCATTTTCGCACTGAAACAAAAAACAACGAGAGCATATTATATTCAAATAAAAATAAGTAAAATTAGGTACAAATAAAAAGAAAGAAAGCTTTCAGGACCAATAATCTAATGGTAATTCAAAAGTTAATAAAAACCTAGCTCGATTATTATAGCACAAAATGTATAAACATATTTAATAATCCACAATCGATAAAATAAATTAAGAATAAGTAAATCAAGAAATTTTGCTTCTGTGTTTACTTTGTAAATTCTATCGAACTTGAAAAATCAATAGAGAGAATTCCGGTATTTCTTTGTATGATATATAAAATTATTTATCTGTGTATTCTTTCAATGACAAAGCGAAAACTTGTTGCTAAATTATTTATTACTTGCTATCTCGATACTCGACCTACATTTAATTTAATTTTTTCACAGTTTTAATAATACTTATTAATATATAATTATCCGATTATTGAAACTATGAAAAAATTAAATTAAATGCAGCTCGATAATGGAGATAACGATGTAAATTGAATCAAACGATGAAAGAAAATCGATTTTGCTATTGATAAAGCTTTTAAATAGAGACTAAAAGTTTAGTCATTAATTTATTTAGTAGATTGAAGTCAATTAAAAGCACATTTCACATATTAATAACAGTGCAGCAAGTCTTATTGGATTTTGATTACACTAAAAAACATTTTATGTTAAATTTAATATGTGCTAAGTTTTTTTTGTAAAATATTTTAAAAACTTTATATTTTATTTTAACTTTATATTTTATTTAAAAGTGTAAGTAATCCCCAATTTGTGGTAAATTGTGTTAAATTATTTTGTGTTAAATTTAACACATTCCACATGTTCCAATTTATCTATCCTAAGTTTTGTGTTAATTTAAAAGAAGTCAAATATATTAACAAATAATATAACTTATTTATACACTTCATATAGGAAATATACTAAGAATATACGTGCTGCATAAAAATTATGTTAAAAGTGTTATTTTAACATTTATTTAATATTAAATAAACTCAACGCGGAATAGTCAAAATAATACAATGACAATATATTAAATTAACATACGTACGTTAAAAATTTAACACAAAAATATTTACACAGATCGATTTTAATACAAATACATGTTTTTACGTGTACATAGAGAGAACGATTTGTTGAATCAAATAAACGTTCTTTAGAATGGTCCAAAAAATTTTTTGGTTGACACAACAAAAATATTTCGTTGGAACTAAGCATACTAAGACGTAACTAAATATTTTTGTTGCGTCAAACAATTGTTCAATCAATCAAAAAATTTGTTCGGACAATTTCAATGCGGTGTTTTTGTTTGATTCAACCAAATCGTCCTCTCTATGTACCAATAAAATTAGATACTTTATTTTATCCGCAAAGATAAAGATAATAAATAGAGAAAAAATATTATCTGTAAATTTCGCGATATCATTGAGAAATTATTGAGAATGATGCGCCACATATTACAAAAGAAGTAAAAAAGTACGTAAGATTCCGCGAATGGAAAAAAGCGCGTATGCGGGGACTGTCCTCGACACGGTGACCTAAACTCAAACGCTGAACCTGATCTTGAGCAACGATCTAGATCTCGTTACGCGCGAATGGACCGACTGCATGTCATCGAGAACCAGTCGATGAAGAAGGAAGTCACCGGTTGCAAAAACGAATTCGCGATCAAGCGAACGCTGCATGATCGCTTGTGCAGCAAAAGAAGAACGCGCAGTGGACGGAAGTGATGAAGCAAGCGCGGAAGTTGAAGCCCCTGATTTTACGGCAACGAAGACACGATGCTTGCGTTAGCATTCACTGAAAGTAATGAACGCCTGTCGCAAGTGAGAATTCGCGTTACCACGCACCGTGCGTTCGCGTTTTCATGTTTGCTCTCGCAACATTTTTTCTTTTCTTCATAACGTAGTGCGTTCCACTGCGACGATTGATATCTGCGGAAGTAATAAGCGCGACCGCAACGAAGATTTGCAAGTGCGAGGCCGTATCGACGTTTCCGCGTTTCGC